TCATAACAGTTACAACTGATGCTGATTATTTCTCAAATATACAACATTTAGTTTTTTCCGTTTCCACTCAACACATTTCTAGAATTAAAAATACTTAAATTACATATAAAACCTTTTAACTTTATTCACTGCAGCAGATGTTCCCGTGAAACTACACCGGTCACTGAATTACTGTATGCTGACAGTGTAACTGGTGTAATTAAGTTAAAACCCTCATTATTGTGTAACTGATTACAGTTCCCATTCATATATTGCATTTACATGCTGTTCCCACTGTGACCAACATTAACTGGTTGGCTGAAGATTAAAACATTTTCTTCTTTTGAAATGCCTGAAAAAATGGAATATAGTAGAAAAATAACTCAACTGAATGTGAAAAAACAAAAAAAGTAAAAACATCCCGTCTCAGAGCATCACTGTAATAATCCATTATGTTCAAAGCTGCCAAAACAAACTGGGATGTTTTGAACTGTTGTGATTTTTTCGTTCAGTTCAAACTGTCAGTTTTTAAAGTTCTTGTTTGAATCCAGAAAAGCATCAGATTTTCATCATTTTTAACCATATTTTTGATAAACTCGACTGCTGTTGGAGTTCGGCTGCACTTTCACTGTGATATAATACAGAGAGTCAGTTTTAGCTGATTTCTGTCTTTAGGATCCTCGTATCGAACCGTTCCTCTGGGACTGAGTGTGAGAAATGGGTTTAAATGTTCGACACAACAACAGAAGCCTGTGTTTGCTGTGTGGAGGCTGAATACAGGTCAGTTCTGAAAATAAAACCTTAACTGGGTCTTTCAGGCACAATCACAGACTTGGTCTGAACCGACGTCTCCACAGCTGGACACACTGTCAACCAGCTGACATATATCTGAATGAACGAAGCTCTAATCAGGAGTCTTGTGTGTGTTGTTGTGTGTTGTTGTGTGTCTGTGTGTTGAAGACTCCCAGATGGCAGCCAGAGGATTTTCCCTGATAGTTCTTCTCTCCAGGAATTAGACCGCTGGGTTTAGTTGCATCAACGGCTTTCGACGTAACAAACAAATCAAATCACTTCCATCACTGAGGCTCCAGAGAGAAAATCCAAAACTGCTCCCGTAAACACACAGGGGACAGAATACCAGGAACACTGTTGTGTGTGAAGGAATCTGGGACGACAACAACACAAAGTAGAGCTGCAGAAATCACATAAATGACCCTTCAAACAGAAACTGTCACTACAGCAGTCCAGTGAAACGTCAACCCTCCAGAACTGTCTCACCTCTACAGCTGCATTATTTCGACATTAGACTGAAGAACAAAACAAATTCTTTATAAAGATGATATTTAAAATTCAGAACCTCAAAGAACAGAACCAAACTGTGTCCAGCTGTGGTTTCCATCAGTCTACCTGCATGAACATGGTTCTACAACGAGGTGAGAACAGCAGAACCTCCTCAGTTCTGGACCTATGGACTGTATCTATCTATGTCTGCATCATGGCTCCACATGGAGAAGACCTGAACAGAGGAAGAGAAACATCTGACTGAGAGGATCCAGAAGATCAGTGAGCAGCTAAAACCCAGTGCAGCCCAGTGTGAGCAGTAACCAGGAGGTCCAGAAGGAGCCATAGTAGCTCTGATCAGGGCTGCAGTGGTCGTCCTTGCATGTCTTTGCCAGTAAAGTTTGCTGCAGAACATGAACAGAAGCCTGATGGATGCTGGAGAACATTCTCTGATCAGAAGAAGATCAATGTGTAGGGCTACGATGGAGTCCAGATGTTTGGTGTGAACCTGACCAGGACCACCACAGTGGATGCATGGTCCTGACAGTGAAGCACGGAGGTGGCAGCATCATGATATGGGGCTGCATGAGGGCAGAAGGTGTTGATGACATTTATAGATAAATGTCTGAGGATAAACCAGAATACTGGCTGACCAGATGAAGAAGAGGAATATTCCAGCAGGAGAACCATCCAGAGAACAACATCATCAAGAGCTTCTACACTAGAACCAAGTGGAACCAGGACCTGGACAGTGTGAGTCCTGAGCTGAATCCAACAGAAGCCCTTTGTGGTGTTTTACAGAGAAAGGTAGAGCAACACGATCCCTCCAGCAAAGAGCAGCTGAATGAAGCAGTGTGAAGAGAACATGTGAGCAGAACTTAGTGGACTCTGGTCTCCTCCATCAGAACATGTGAGCAGAACTTAGTGGACTCTGGTCTCGTCCATGAGAACCTGTGAGCAGAACTTAGTGGACTCAGGCCTCCTCCAGGCTGAGGAGGACTGAGTCTGTCAGCAGAGATAAAGATAAAGTACCAAAAACGTTCCAGCTGTGAGGCCTTTAATGTTTAATGTAGTGGATCTAATCTGCTGGTTTTCTGTTCTCTCAGTAATCTGATTACTGTCGGACGAAACACTCTGAACCGTTTCAGAGGTATTATTTTATATATTATAAACACACGCCTGTACATCTGGAGCTGACAGCGACAGGATCTCTGATGCATTTTAATATTAGATGTTCTTTCAGCAGCTCCTCAGATGAACCAGGCGACAGTCTGACAGCTCTGATCAAACTTTGTGTTTTCACACTTCAAAGTGAACAACTGAGCTCCTCCTGCTGGATTCAGCTTTTAATTGTGAGCTGCAGCGTCCACACATCCTCCTGTATCGTATTAATGGTGGCCTCTGGGAGGACCGGGGAGGTGGAGGAGGTGGAGGGGGTGAGGCTCAATTACAGCATTCAGATCTCCACCGAGCTGTCTGAGATCATCAGAATAACATATGTGAGCGGCGACCAGGGCCGACAGCTCGTCCTTCAAGGGCCTATAACCGTCATTTCAGCTTATTTCTGTCCCTCGCCGGGACTCAGCGGGATTCATCAACGTTTCACCCACAAACCCGTCGGCAGCGCATCCAGGGGCTCTGGGTTACGTTTCCTGGCTGCTCTTCAGTCACACTGCTCAGAGAAATCTGCAAAAACTGTGAAGACCTGGCAGGGACGGTGCTGAACAACTACATAAAATAAAGACAGATGTCTGCATAATAGTGATATTTTTAGCTGGTTTAAATACAGGAGGATGAATATTTTTAATTTCAGTAGTATTTCTGTGACTTTACCAGTTTTTTTCTATTATTTAACAAAACAGGGGAAATTTGTAAAACAATGGCTAAAAACATGACTTTTCCTTTTATATAAATCCTTAAAATACATATTTTTTCCTTCAAATATTGGAAATTGTAGTAAAAATATGTAACTTCATGTGTTTACTTTGATTTTACTGGGTATCAGTTATGTTTTTTAAATATATTTTTAAACAAAACAATGAAATTCTGTCATTTTTTGATCATCTTAAACATTCTCTGCTGTCTTGTCTTAATCCAGCTTCTGTCTGATAAAACACTAAAGAGAAATTATTATTTGATCCAGTGTAGAAATCAGGTTTTGTTTCAGACAACATGTGTTACAGTGAAAATCTGGAGAATATCAGTTCAAGAAACGGTTGGTTTTCCACAGTGTGGAGTGAAACTGACGCTCGTACTTCACACCTCTGGATGTTTTTCTGTCTCTGCTCTTTGGGTTCAAACTTGTCGTCTGCAGCTCCTTTAACTAAAATAAAAAAAGCAAACTTACCGGACAGAGAGAGCTTCCAGTCGAGGTTCTGATCAGATCTTCTGGTGTCGAAATGAAAACTAATCCTTGAAGGTTCCACTGAAGCTGGAGTTTCTCCTGATTTAAAACAGGTAGTTAGAGGCTGGTGGTGTTTTCAGCAGCTGACTTCTCTTCAGTACAAATCCTTTTCTGGACAGACGAGAAGGATCCCAGAGACACTCTGACATGTAGAGAACAAAACCAGGTAAATGTGAAGCCTCCAGCTGAGCTCCAGCCGCTCCAGATGTCAGGATCCAGCAGGTCTGTGTCCTCTGATGTGGTCGAGTCCTCCGGCAGAAACAAGTGCTCAGCTGTCCGGCGGCTCGCTCAGGTCCAAGCCGACTCCCTTTTCCTGTTATTGTGACTTTTGCTGCCCTGGGGGGGAACAGAGCGACGGAGCAGAGAGGCAGCAGAGAGGCAGGCAGGAGGACGCTGCAGCCTCCTCATGGTGCTGGAGCAGATGGATGCAGGGAGGAGACGGAGGGAGGCGTCACTCCGCCTCCTCCACATCTATTATTCATGTGTGTGAGATCAGGATTAAGTTAAACAGGTTATTGAGGATAATCCGGGGAGATTTCCCCACATGAGGCTGGTAAATATTTCAGAGGAGTGAGAGAATCTGACAGAGAGAATCTGGTCTGAGCCGATAAATGAGATGAGACTCTCCCTCGTAATTTGGAGAGTCTGTGTGTTTTTCATATCAAACCTCTCTGGTGGCATTTTCTCTATTTCGGCTCCTCAGAACATCTGGAATCAGTTCTGCTGATTACTGTCAATCTGCAGAATTAAAGGAGCTGTGGATGGAGACACTGCAAAGAACTGTGATATTCCTGCAGCTGGAACAAAACAGAAAAGAACCGACTGAATGTTTAATGACGCATAAAACCTATGAACATCCCTGTGAGGTCTATCTGGATGAAATATATACAGTCTGTAACAAATACTCAAAGCAACTCAGGTTACTGAATGTCTGTTGGAGTCCAGTTAAATCCATCATTAAGGACTGGAAGGAATATGAGTAGATCTGACTGGAGCAGGACGTCCTCAAAGACTGAGTGACCGAGCAAGAAGGAGACTAGTGAGGGAGGCCAGACTCCTATGACTCCTCTGAAGGAACTACAAGAAGGAGACTAGTGAGGGAGGCCAGACTCCTATGACTCCTCTAAGACTGGACTACTGCTGCTTTTTACACTTATTGAACATTACACTAGTGCAGTTTGTTGCACTTCTGCAGAATTTTGCGGTTTAGAAATACAGAAAAACTCTGTACAGTGTGAAACAATAAACAGATGTGACTTTATTCTGCAGCGTTCGTGTCGCTCGTGTCTGAAACCGTTGACAGCAGCAGCAGAGTTGGTGTATGTCTGTTATTAAACTGTCTGTCTGTCCTCCTTCAGTCCTTCCATCCTTCTGTCCTTTAGTCTTTCAGTCCAGCCATCCTTCAGTCCTTCCGTCCTTCTGTCCTTCCTCCTTCCATCCTTCCATCCTTCCATCCTTAAGTCCTTCCGTCCTTCCGTCCTTCTGTCCTTCCTCCTTCCATCTTTCCATTCTTAAGTCCTTCCGTCCTTCTGTCCTTCCATCCTTTTGTCCTTCCGTCCTTCTGTCCGTCTGTCCTTAAGTCCTTGGAGCCTTCAGGCTTCAGGCCTTCTGTCCTTCAGTCCTTTCGTCCTTCAGTCCTTCCGTCTTTCTGTCCTTTAGTCCTTTAGGTCCTCTGTCCGTTTGTCCTTAAGTCCTTCAGTCCTTCTGTCCTTCCGTCCTTTTGTCCTTCCGTCCTTCAGGCCTTCAGTCCTCCTGTCCTTGAGTCCTTCAGTCCTTCCTCCTGTCCTTCATTCCTCTTTCCTTCTGTCCTTCAGGCCTTCAGTCCTTCTGTCCTTCTGTCCTTCATTCCTTCATTCCTTCCTTCCTTCCGTCCTTCAGTCCTTCTGTCCTTCATTCCTTCCTTCC